CTCCGAGGGTCCGGTGGTCTGCTGGGACCTGGACCTGGACCTGGACCTGGACCTGGACCTGGACTGTGACGAGAAACCGGTCTGGATCTGCAACAGCAGCCTGGCGGGTCCTCAGGAGGCCTGAAGGGTCCCGAAACAAGAAGGAAAACGGGTGTGGAGATAGTCAGAGACACTGTACGCTGACAGAAAAAGAGCCGGACCGATTATATCAATATCAGACCAGAGGGAGATAAAATCGAACTAAAATCCTGAGAGAAAATCCAGATGGAGACAAACAAAGAGACTGAAAGTGTTTCCCACTGGAGAAAAGACTCTCGTAAAAGATCAGAAACTCTTTAGATGACTTATTTATTTTTTTGTAGTAGTAAAATATTATTTCATATGAATGTATCTGTTTAAAAGAAAAAAGTTTGTCTTTTATATTATTTATGCCCCCCTTTGGATGAGAAATACTTTTTATTTTTTTTGCCGGTTTCGCCCCCCGTTTGTTTCCCGCTCAAAAGTGGAATTAGCAACTGTCTGTGTAAAGTTTTGTAATAATATAAAGAGACGTTTTGGGAGAGCCAATAAGAGTGTTTCTTCCATTTCTGGATGAGTGATTGCTGTGTAAAGTAAGATCTTCTGTAGGCTGTGAGACGAATTTAGGAGCCTCGGCTGGATGTCCGACTCCTCCCACATCCAGGTCGGCCATTTTGATTAGGTCATGTGACTAGCTGCTTTCTCAGGTGGAGACGAAACTTTACTGTCTATACGAAATCAGAAGATAAACCATGTCCTAACCCTAACCCTCCACCCTAACTATAACCCTAACCCTGACTCTAACCCTGACCCTAACCCTGACTCTAACCCTAACCCTCTACCCTAACCCTAACCCTGACCCTAACCCTAACCCTAACCCTAACCCTGACCCTAACCCTAACCCTAACCATGATCCTAACCCTTACCCTGACCCTAACCCTAACCCAGACCCTAACCCTGACCCTAATCCTAACCCTGACCCTAAACCTCCACCCTAATATAAAGAAACGTTTTGGGAGAGCCAATAAGAGCCGACTTTGATGCGTTTATTCCCTTTCTGGATGAGTGATCTCTGTGTAAAGTTCCCCAAACGTCCATGTTTCTGGAGGGCCTTTGAAGTGGACGGGCCGGTCCATTGCGGTGACCCTGGGGGGGGGGACACTCCCCTCTCTGTTCTCTGCTCCAATGAACGCTCGAATATTAATTTAATAGAATATTAAATGGGATTCTCCAAGAAAGGTCAAGGGGCTTTAGGGTAAAGCAACCATCAAAACTCAGCTTGGTAAGTGATGCTACTCCTCAAGGAATAAACTTGGAAAGTCAACACAGGTTTTCCAA